ACCATGCCCCGTCTAATTTGTTCCAGTGTAGCTAACTTAAAATGTGGCTGTGACCCTCTTACTTGATGGCTCTTGAACATGGGGGGTTTTCAGGAGCCAAATGATGGGAGGGTGGTCAGCAGGTGGTTGAGAAATAGTCCCAACTTCTAGAGATGATTTAAAATGAGACAGCCAGCCAGGCGCCGTGGCTCACACCTGTAATACCAGCACTTTGGGAGAGTGAGGCACGAGGATCACTTGAGTTCAGGAGTTCCAAGACCAGCCTGGCCAACATGGTGAAATGCCGTCTCTACTAAAAATACAAAAATTAGCCGGGTGTGATGTTGGGTCCCTGTAGTCCCAGCTACTGGAGAGGCAGAGGCAAGAGAATCTCTTGAACCGGGGTGGCAGAGGTTGCAGTGAACCGAAATCACACCACTGTACTCCATCCTGGGCCACAGAGCGAGACCCCATCTAAATAAATGCATACATACATACATAAAATGAGATGCCTGTAAGGCTGAGGCAGGGGGATCACCTGAGGTCAGGAGTTTGAAGACCAGCCTGCCCAAGATGGAGAAACCCCATCTCTGCTAAAAATACAAAATTAGGTGGGCATGGTGGTGCACACCTGTAATCCTAGCCACTCAGGAGGCCGATGTCGGAGAATCGCTCGGACCGGGGAGGTGGAGGTTGCAGTTGAGCCGAGATTGTGCTGCTGCAGTCCAGCCTGGGCAACGAGATCGAAACACCACCTCAAAAAAAAAAAAAAAAAAAAAAAAGATTCAAAATAACAGCGTGGAAGACAGGAACAATGGCAATATTAATCAAATAGCAATGGTAGTGAAGCTGGCCTCTGCCTGGTGAGGCGCTCACTGTGTGTCAGCTGCGGTTCTGGGAGTTTTATTAATAATTCATTCATTACTTTTTTTTGTGAGACAGAGTCTCACTCTGTCACCCAGGCTGGAGTGCACTTGGCCCGGTCACCTCCGCCTCCCGGGTTCAAGTGATTCTTCTGCCTCAGCCTCCCGAGTAGCTGGGATTGCAGGCGCCCGCCACCACGCCTGGCTAATTTTTGTATTTTTAGTAGAGACGGGGTTTCACCACGTTGGCCAGGCTGGTCTCGAACTCCTGACCTCGGGTGATCCGACAGCCTCAGCCTCCCATAGTGTTGGGGTTACAGGCGTGAGCCACCGCGCCCGGCCAGTGTTTCATTTATTACAATCTTGTCCTTCACAAACAGCTTCCAGAGGGTGCTACAGTCATGTCCATTCCACAGATGAGAAGGGTAAGGCGCAGATGCATCTGAGGTCCCCACTCCCTGGCTGCCCGATTCGCAAGCGTATGCTGGGAACCACTGTGGGGGCCTCGTGCTTAGTAGGTGCCTAAGAAACACCCTCTGTTTCCAGCGAAACACCCAGACGCCAGCCGGGCACTGCAACCTGCTGAGTCTGTGTGGGCTCTGGTTCCAGAAGAGGGTCCTGTGCCCACGGCCCGGAGCCCAGACGGCTGGCTGCCCTGGCTGGGCCCTTCCCAACGGCATGGCCACCCGTGCCCAGCCTCGAGGCGGTCCAGACAGAACTGGCCAGCTCCAAGGGGCCTCTGGCTGCCCTAGCCTGGGATCGGCGGCAGGGCTCGGGGCCCAGCCGGGCACACTCCCCTCAGTTGCCGTCTGGCCCATTTGGCCGAGGCTGGGAAAGCCTGGCTGCTGGAAGGCCTTCTCTCATCTGCTCCTCTGTTTCCTGGTTGGGAAACTGAGGCACCGGGCCCTGCCCCTGTCGTGTTTATGGCATCGTTGGTCTTGGCAGACAGTGGGTGCAGGACGCACGGTGTATACAAAACCATCAGCACAGCGCTAAGCCAGCACCAGAGGCTCCGTGCACTAGGAAATATCACGGCTTTGGCCAGTCTCACAGCAACCCTGGGAGTGGTCTCCATTTTTTTTTTCCTTTTTCTGAGACGGAGCCTCAGTCTTGCTCTGTCACACAGGCTGGAGTGCCATGGCGCCATCTCGGCTCACCACAACCTCCGGCCTCCCCAGTTCAAGCGATTCTCCTGCCTCAACTTGCTGAGTAGCTGGGATTACAGGCCCGCGCCACCACGCCCAGCTAATTTTTGTATTTTTAGTAGGGATGGGGTTTCACCATGTTGGCCAGGATGGTCTCAATCTCTTGAGCTTGTGATCCTCCTGCCTCGGCCTCCCAAAGTGCTGGGATTACAGGCGTGAGCCACCGCGCCCGGCTCCCATTAATTTTTTTTAAACAAGGTCTTGCTCTGTTGCCCAGGCTGGAGTGCAGTGGCGTGATCACGGCTCACTGCACCCTGGACCTCCCAGGCTCAAGTGATCCTCCTGCCTCAGCCTCCTGAGTAGCTGGTACTACAGGCACCTGATACCATGCCCAGCTAATGTTTTTGTAGTAACGGGGTCTCACTATGTTGCCCTGGCTGGTCTTGAACTCCTGGCCTTAAGCGATCGTCTCTCCTCGGCCTCCCAAAGGGCTGGGATTACAGACATGATGCACCATGCCACCACACCTGGCTTAATCACCATCTCATTTTGTGGACGAGGAAACTCAGGCCTTGAAAGGGAAGTGGCGTGCTCAGGAGCACACAGACTGATGGCTCTCAGAGACAGTCCCTGGCTCAGGTATCTGATCCCAGCACAAAACAGTGGATAAAGTAACCCTAGTGATGAAGGCCATCACGTGGTCTGGGAGGGAGGCTATTGCTTGTGGTTCTGGCTTACAGCTTTCCTTGTCTGTGGCGCGGTGGCTCATGCTTTTAATCCCAGCACTTTGAAAGGCCAAGGTGAGCAGATCACCTGAGGTCAGGAGTTCAAGACCAGCCTGGCCAACATGGTGAAACCCTGTCTCTACTAAAAATACAAAAATTGGCCGGGCGCGGTGGCTCACGCCTGTAATCCCAACACTTTGGGAGGCCGAGGCGGGCGGATCACAAGGTCAAGAGATCGAGACCATCCTGGCCAACGTGGTGAAATCCCATCTCTACTAAAAATACAAACAAATTAGCTGGGTGTGGTGGTGTGCGCCTGTAGTCCCAGCTATCCGGGAGGCTGAGGCAGGAGAATCGCTTGAACCCGGGAGGCGGAGGTTGCCGTGAGCCGAGATTGTGCCACTGCACTCCAGCCTGGGCTACAGAGGGAGACCCTGTCTCTCAAAAAAAAACTAAATAAAATGAAAGAAAGCGATAACGTGGTGGATTATCTCGTGATCTAGGTCTCCAGATACCCCCTAGTGCTTCAGGGGTATCCTCTCCTGGCTCCCTCCCAGCTCTGATAGGGCCTAGCGAAGGGACGCTAGACGGCTTGCCTGAGGTCACATGGCAATTGGCTGGCCTTGGGGTCTGGGGGGCGGGATTCTTTCTGCGGCCTTCGGTGCTGGTCCTGCCACCTTCGTCTTTGACCTGGGCGATCCGTGGGTGGGGCTGGGGAGGGGGCTCTGCCTGGCTGGGCTTGTCCACCTGCCCCCCGGCTTCAGCCCTCAGTGGAGGGAGGGTCAGGGCTCCGGAGGGGGTGGATGTGACTTGTCCTCCGTCCAGGCTGCCAGAGCCGATAACGCTGAGCTCAGCGTCTGTCTGCCTGCATGTCTGCCAAGGAACCTGATTATTTTTAGATAAGGTGGAGGGGCGGGCGCCGGGGCAGAGGGAGCACCCTAGCCAGACGGGCAGTGGGGACGTCGCCATCACAGAAGCCGCCCCTCAGCCTCCTCTCTCTGCGGTCCCTGAATGGCAACCCAGGACAAACAGGCGGGTCCCTGGGATGACAGGGGCAGGGGCTGAGGCTCGGGGAACCTGGCGTCTCAAGGACTCACCTTTCTGATCCTCAGTTTCCTCATCTGTAAGACAGGCACAGTGATAGCCCTCCCGCGTAGGGCTAAGGTGGGGCTGAATGAGTGAACTCATTTTTTTAAAATTGCATTTATTTATTTATTTATTTATTTATTTATTTATTTATTTATTTATTTTGAGACAGAGTCTCGCTCTGTTGCCCAGACTGGAGTGCAGTGATGTGATCTCTGCTTGCTACAACCTCTCCCTCCTGGGTTCAAGCAATTCTCCTGCTTTAGCCTCCCGAGTAGCTGGGATTACAGGCGACCGCCACCGCACCCGGCTAATTTTGTATTTTTGGTAGCAACGGAGTTTCGCCGTATTGGCCAGGCTGGTCTCAAACTCCTGACCTCAGGTGATTTTCCTGCTTCGCCCTCCCAAAGTGCTGGGATTACAGGCCTGAGCCACCTCGCCTGGCCGTTTTGTTTTATTTTGTTTGGTTTTATTTTCTGAGATGGGGTCTTGCTCTGTCGCCTAGGCTGGCTTCCAACTCCAGTCACACAGACTGGAGTGCGGCGGTGCGATCTCGGCTCACTACAGCCTCCGCCTCCCAGGTTCAAGCAATTCTCCTTCCTCAGCCTCCAGAGTAGCTGGGACTACAGGTGCGCGCCACCACAGCTGGCTAGTTTTTGTACAGTTAGTAGAGATGGGGTTTCACCATGTTGGCTAGGCTGGTCTCGAACTCCCGACCTCAGGTGATCTGCCTGCGTCAGCCTCCCAAAGGGCTGGGATTACAGGCATGAGCCACCACGCCTGGCCTGAACCTCATTTTACAGATGAGGCTCAGAGAGGGCAAGTGACTTGCTCAGGGTTGCACAGCGAGAAGGCAGCGGAGCTGGGATTTGAACGTCACTCTGTTAAGACTCCAGGTGCCCAACTTCTTTACCCACGACTGAGCCGCCCCTGCAGACACAGAGAGCTGACTCCAGCATCCGGGTGCACTGGCGCCCACAGGGGCCCAGCTGGTGTCTGCAGGGTGCCTGGCCACATGTCCGCGACCCTCTAGGGCAGCAGCAAAGGGCCCAAGCAGAGACCCCGGGGCGTGGGCGTGTTTCAGGGCCACTGTCTTCCCAACACTGGCCCAGCCCAGGACTGGGTTACCAGCGTCGATACCTCATCTGCTCCTGGGGTGGGGTCTCTGCGATGTCACCAACACCTCTTCCCTCTCTTTGCAGACGCAGAGCAGAGCGGCAGTCCCCGGGCGGGGATGGGGTCCGATCAGGAGGACAGCAAGCCCATCACGCTGGGTGAGTCTGCGGGTGGCGCGGCCTCGTCCATGTCCGGGGGCAACCAGGGAGCTGGCCTGGAACTCATGACGCTGAGCTCCCAGCATGTGGGCTCTGAGGTCCTCATGCATGGGAGACCCCGGAGGGCTCTACAGTTCCATGGGATGTTTAGGGGTTTCTGCTTGTTTTGTTTTTCATTCGTTTATTTATTTTGAGATGGAGTCTCGCTCTGTCACCCAGGCTGGAGTGCAGTGGCGCGATCTCGGCTCACTGCAACCTCCGCCTCCCGGATTCAGGTGATTCTCCTGCCTCAGTTCCCCACGTAGCTGGGATTACAGGCACCTGCCACCACGCCTGGCTAATATTTGTATTTTTAGTAGAGACGGAGTTTCACCGTGTTGGCCAGGTTGGTCTTGAACTCTTGACCTCAGGTGATCCACCTGCCTCGGCCTCCCGGAGTGCTGGGATTACAGGTGTGAGCCACGGCGCCCGGCCTGTTTGTTTTAGAAACGGTCTCACTCTGCTGGCCAGGCTGGAGTGCAGTGACGCCATCCTAGCTCACCGCACCCTGGACCAACTGAGCGGAAGCCATCCTTCCGCCTTAGCCTCTGAGGTAGCTGGGACTGCAGGTGTGCACCACCGTGCCTGGCTCATTTTTTGTGTGTTTGTTTTTGTAGAGACAGAGTCTCATGTGTTGCTCAGGCTGCTCTCAAACTCCTGAGCTCAAGCGATCCTCCTGCCTCAGCCTCCCAAAGCGCTGGGATCATAGGTGTGACCCCGATGCCCAGCCTTCACGGGGTGTCTAATAGATGGAAAGGACAGAGCAATTCTATGTCGTAGGGATAGGAAGTGGAAAATTTTTGCTTCGGTCACTTAGACCAGAGCAGTCTCTTCCGTCTTAGACCCTGGCTCCTGTCCTTGCCCCCAGCCATCTGCCCACAGCCCTCCATGGCTGCCACCTCTCTTGGGATAAAAGCCCAAGTCCTCCCTGTCACCCACAAGGCCCTGCCCAACCTGCCCCATCCCCTCCGTGTCCTCTCCTCCTCCCTCTCCCCCTGGCTCACCCCCAGCTGCACAGACGTCCTTACTTTTCCTCTAGTGCCCCAGGCCCAGTCCTGCCTCAGGGCCTTTGCACATTATACTCCCTCCGTCTAAATAGCTAACTGGTCTCTTGCTTTCTCCACATCTCCCCTGGTCTCAGCTCACATGCCCCCTTCTCATAGAGGTCTACCCTGAGTACCCTGAGCCCCTTTAGCATAGGCAGCCTCTGGCCACCCCCAATCTCAGCCCTCTGTTTTCTTTCCTTCAGAAGAAGTTAGTGATTGCCTATGGGTTTGTTTAGTTGCTTAGTGGCTGCCCTCGTGTTTGCTTATCTCCCCAGTGGAACGTCACCTCCTCGAGGGCAGAGGCTTTGTCTGTCTGGATCTCTGTTGTGCCCTCAGTGGCTAGAACAGGGCCTGGTGCAGAGCGGGTGCTCAGTAAATAATTGTAGAAGGAAAGGCGAAAGAGAGGAATGAAACAGAAAGAGAGACAAGAGAGGGTATGTGGGGGAGAGGAAGGAGAAGAGACGAAAAAGAAGGAAGGGGCCGGGCGCGGTGGCTCACAGCCTGTAATCCCAGCACTTTGGGAGGCCAAGGCGGGCAGATGACCTGAGGTCAGGAGTTCGAGACCAGCCTGGCCAACGTGGCGAAACCCCCGTCTCTACTAGGACTCCGGAGGCTGAGGAAGGAGAATCACTTGAACCTACCTGGGGGGTGGAGGTGGCAGTGAGCCAAGATCACGCCACTGCGCTCTAGCCTGGTGGATAGAGCGAGACTGTCTCCAAAAAAAAAAAAAAAAAAAAAAAAGGCCGGGCGCGGTGGCTCAAGCCTGTAATCCCAGCACTTTGGGAGGCCGAGGCGGGTGGATCACGAGGTCGAGAGATCGAGACCATCCTGGTCAACATGGTGAAACCCCGTCTCTACTAAAAATACAAAAACTAGCTGGGCATGGTGGCACGTGCCTGTCATCCCAGCTACTCAGGAGGCTGAGGCAGGAGAATTGCCTGAGCCCAGGAGGCGGAGGTTGCGGTGAGCCGAGATCATCGCGCCATTGCACTCCAGCCTGGGTAACAAGAGCGAAACTCCGTCTCAAAAAAAAAAAAAAAAAAAAGAAAGGAAAAGGAAGGAAGAGAAAGCGAGTGGGCGAGGTGACCTCCTTGGAAGGGCTGGAACAGCCGTGCGCAGGGAGGCCAAAGGGTTCCCGGAGGTTCACAGGCCCGAGGCCACTCCTCACTGGCCCCTGGTGACTCGTCCGTCTGTGACCCGGGTCCTCCTCGGCCTCCTGTGATCCCCAGACGCCTCTCTCCAAGCCAGATGTTGGAGGGAGGCGGAGGCGGCGGTGCTTGGCCTGGTCCCTTGGGGAGCTTGGGCGTCTGGTAGAGGAAATCACGTCCTCCCAGCTCGCCAGGGAGTCCCCCGGAGATGGAGCTGGGCAGGCACTGCACAAACAGGAAACCCTGGTGTGGGGGAGGCGGGGGGCGTGCTGACACCGGCTGGCCAGCTGGGTCAGCAGGAAACGGCTCTGGCCACTTCTCCTGGACACGCAGGGCCACCGCTCTGTCCTCCTCAGAATGTGTGGCCCTGCACCTCCCAGCGCGGGGTAGGGCTCCTTGCCATCACTCAGCAAATGACTGAAACGGGGGCCGGATGCAGCGGCTCATGCCTGCGATCCCAGCGCTTTGGGAGGCCGAAGCGGGAGGGTCAAGTAAGCCCAGGAGTTCAAGGCCAGCCTAGGTAATACATCAAGACCAAGAAATAATAATACAGAAATTAGCCAGGCATGGAAGCACATGCCTGTAACCCCAGCTACTTGGGAGGCTGAGGCAGGAGGATGGCCTGAGCCCAGGAGTTCTAGACCAGCCTGGGTAACACAGCAAGACCCTATCTTTACACACACACACGCACGCACACACACACACACAATTACAAAAATTAGGCATAGAGGTGCATGCCTGTAACCTCAGGTACTTGGGAGGCTGAGGCAGGAGGATGGCCTCAGCCCAGGAGTTTGAGACCAGCCTGGGTAACACAACAAGACCCTGTCTCTACCAAAAAAAAAAAAATACACACACACACACACACACACACACACGACACACACGTTAGCCAAGCATGGAGGTGCGTGCCTATAATCCCAGCTACTTGGGAGGCTGAGGCAGGAGGATCGCTTGAGCCCAGGGGTTCGAGGCTGCAGTGAGCTATGATGGCATCACTGCATTCAAGCCTGGGCAACAGAGCGAGACTCTGTCTCTAAAAAAGAAAAAGATTGTCACAGGGGTACTGGCCGGGGCTTGGGTCTCCAGAACTGGACACAGCCGTGAGCTCCCTGCAGCCCGTGCTGCCCCCTGGGGGCCGAGAGACGAACTGCTCTCACCGCCACCCAAAAGCCAAGAGCCTCTCCAGCCTCCCAAGCGACAGAGCTCCCTGGCTCTTTCCGCCCCAACCCTGCTGGCCTGTAACCCCCAAGTGCGTTCCAACCCTGGGGCCTTTGCACGGGCTGTTCCCAGTGCCGGGAACATTGTGGCCCTCAGGGAGGTGGCGAAACATCATACCCATCAGATAAGCCAACACCCAAGGGGTAGTTGCCAGGTGCTGTTCCTGGAGCTTTGCAAGTTTTAACAAGTTCCTTCCTCTTATCCAATCTCATCTTGAGGTCTTTGTAAAATACCACCATCTCGGCCAGGCTTTCTCCGAGCCCTGGGTGTAAAATTTCTTCCCTCCCCACCCTAGCGGGTTCCCCACAGGCTGCCTGCCTTACCACAGGCTGATGCACCTCGCATTTGATTTAATGAGCCTTGAATTTGTAGTAAAGGCCGGGCTCCGTGGCTCACGCCTATAATCCCAGCACTTTGGGAGGCCAAGGCAGGCAGATCACCTGAGGTTAGGGGTTCGAGATCGGCCTGACCAACACAGAGAAACCCTGTCTCTACTAAAAATACAAAAATTAGCCAGGTGTGGTGGCATGTGCCTGTAGTCCCAGCTACTTGGGAGGCTAAGGCAGGAGATTCCCCAGGAGGTGGAGGTTGCAGTGAGCCGAGATTGCGCCATTGCACTCCAACCTGGGCAATAAGAGTGAAACTCTGTCTCAAAAAAAAAAAAAAAAAAAAAAATTGGGGCTGGGCGCCATGGCTCACGCCTGTAATCTCAGAACATTGGGGGTCCGAGGGAGGTCGATCACAAGGTCAAGAGTTCAAGACCAGCCTGGCCAACATGGTGAAACCCCATCGCTACTGAAAAATATGAAAATTATCCAGGCCGTGGTAGCGTGCGCCTGTAATCCCAACTACTCGAGAGGCTGAGGCAAGAGAATCACTTGAACCTAGAAAGCGGAGGTTGCAGTGAGCCGAGATCGAGCCAGTGCACTGCAGCCTGGGAGACTCCCTCTCAAAAAAAAAAAAAAAAAAAAAAAATTGTAGTAAAATGTGCGTAATGTACAATATATCATTTTTACTTTTTTTTTTTTTTTTTTAGACAGAGTCTCACTCTGTTGCCCAGGCTGGAGTGCAGTGTCGAAATCTCGGCTCACTGCAACCTCCACCTCCCGGGTTCAAGAGATTCCCCTGCCTCAGCCTCCTAAGCAGCTAGGACTACAGGCGGCCATCACCACACCCAGCTAATTTTTGTATTTTTAGTAGAGATGGGGTTTTACCATGTTGGCCAGGCTGGTCTTGAACTCCTGACCTCAGGTGATCCACCCACCTTAGCCTCCCAAAGTGCTAGGATTACAGGCGTGAGCCACCGCGCCTGGCCATTTTAACCGTTTTTAAGTGTCCAGGTCAAAGTGCGCTCAGTGCATTCACCTCTATCTAATCCAGAACATTTCTTTTTTCTTCCCCAAGGCTGGACTGCAGTGGCGTGATCTCGGCTCACTGCAACCTCCGCCTCCTGGGTTCAAGCGATTCTCCTGCCTCAGCCTCCCAAGTAGCTGGGACTACAGGCGCGTGCCACCATGCCCAGCTAATTTTTCCATATTTTCAGTAGAGACGGGGTTTCACCGTGTTGGGCAGGATGGTCTCTATCTCCTGACCTTGTGATCTGCCCACCTTGGCCTACCAGAGTGCCGGGATTACAGGTGTGAGCCATTGCACCGGGCCAGAGCCTTGTTCTTATTTATTCATTTATTTTCTGAGACAGTCTCACTCTGTTGTCTAGGCTGGAGTGCAGTGTGTGGTCTCAGCTCGCCCCAACCTCCACCTCCCAGGTTCAAGTGATTCTCCTGCCTCAGCCTCCCGAGTAGCTGGGATTATAGGCACCACGCCTGGCTAATTTTTGTATTTTTAGTAGAGACAGAGTTTTGTCATGTTGGCCAGGCTGGTCTTGAACTCCTGACCTCAGGTGATCTGCCCACCTCAGCCTCCCAAAGTGCTGGGATTACAGGTGTGAGCTACTCAACCTGGCCCAAAGCCTCATTCTTTTTCCTCTCGCTCTGTCACACAGGCAGGAGTGCAGTGATGCAGTCATAGTTCACTGCAGCCTCAACCTCCTGGGCTCAAGCGATCCTCCCACCTCAGCCTCCCAGGTAGCTGGGACTACAGGTGTGCACCACCACACCCAGCTAATTTCTGTACTTTTTGTAGAGATGGGGTTTTGCCATGTTGCCCAGGCTGGTCTCAAACTCCTAGGCTCAAGTGATCCACCCACCTCAGCTTCCCAAAGTGCCAGGACTACAGGCGTGCGCCCCCACACTCGGCTGATTTTTGTATATTTTGTAGACACAGGGTTTCACTACATTGCCCAGGCTGGTGTCAAACTCCCGAGCTCAAGAGATTCCCCCCGACCAAAGTGCTGGGATTACAGGCACAAGCCACTTCGCCTGGCCTTTTTACAGCTGAGTTCTTCTCCAGTGTGTGGATAGAGCACGCTGCGTTTATCTCTTCATCTTCTGAAGGGACATGTGGGTGGCTTTACATTTTGAGCTGTGGTGAACGGTGCTGCGAGGAGCCCTCGTGGCCTTTTGCTGACCTAGTAATCTTGGTTCCTATTTGTCACTTGCACTGGAGACGGGGGTGAGTGCTTCCATCTGTCTTATCTGCTATGTCGGGCCCAGCTCAGCATGGGACACCATGGATGCTTAGTGGATGTCTACTGAGTGAATGAATCCCTCCTGTAAAGGCCTCCGAGGGCAGGACGGCGCTGTCCCCAAGCTGTCTGAGGTTGGCCAAGGCTCCTGGCCTCTTGGGGACAACTTTGGTTTCCAAACCCATGAAATGGGTCCAAACGACTCCAGTTAAGAGAGGACGGTTCCCCTTCCTTTCACATTAGGCAGGAGCAGGGCTGGGGACACAGACCCCCCATTCGACCCCCCGTTTTAACCGACCCATTGCTGGGTGCCGAGCTCTGGTCTAGGCACGCAGGACCCTGCAGACTGCAGCAGATGGCATCCCTGCCCACATGGACCTCTGTCTGGAGGGAGAAGGACAGGAAGCCGGGGGATCTCGAAGGGTGACAGTATGCAAAGCCAGCCAGCCGCCCCTCCCAGGCAGTTTGATGCAGATGTCACCACAGCCAAGATGATGGCATTGATGGTTTCCACGTTTGCAATTAGGAAACCTTGGAGGCTGAGCAAGGGAAAGTGACCTGCCATGATCACGCACCGAGGCGGGTGACGGGAGCAGGCGCGAACCCAGGTCTCCGCTCTCCACTCTTTGTCTTTCTGAGATGGAGTCTCGCTCTGTTGCCCAGGCTGGAGGAACATGGCGCGATCTCGGCTCACCGCAACCTTCACCTGCTGGGTTCAGGCAATTCTCCTGCCTCAGACTCCCGAGTAGCTGGGATTACAGGCACGCGCCACGACGCCCTGCTAATTTTTGTATTTTTAATAGAGATGAGGTTTCACCACGTTGGCCAGGAAAGTCTCAATATCTCGACTTCGGGATCCACCCGCCTCGGCCTCCCAAAGGGCTGGGATTACAGGCATGAGCCACCGCGCCCGGCCTCTCCACTCATTTTATTTATTTATTTATTTATTTATTTTGAGACAGAGTTTCCCTCTTGTTACCCAGGCTGGAGTGCAATGGCGCGATCTCGGCTCACCGCAACCTCCGCCTCCTGGGTTCAGGCAATTCTCCTGCCTCAGCCTCCTGAGTAGCTGGGATTACAGGCACGCGCCGCCATGCCCAGCTAATTTTTGGCACTTTTAGTAGAGACGGGGTTTCACCATGTTGACCAGGATGGTCTCGATCTCTTGACCTCATGATCCACCCGCCTCAGCCTCCCAAAGTGCTGGGATTACAGGCGTGAGCCACCGCGCCTGGCCCTCCACTCATTTTTTTAAAGAGACAGGGTCTCGCTTTGTTTCTCAGGCTGGAGTGCAATGGCACCACAATGGTATACTGCGTCCTCCACCTCCCAGGCTGAAGTGATCCTCCCGCCTCAGCCTCCTGAGTAGCTGGGACTACAGGCATGCACCGTGACATCTGGCTAATGCTAACACTGTTTGTAGAGACGGGCTTTCACTATGTTGCCCAGGCTGGTCTTGAACTCCTAAACTCAAGCAATCATCCCGCCTCGGCCTCCCAGTGATGGGATTACAGCCATGAGCCACGGCACGCAGCCTGCTGTCCACTTGAATGCAGCATTCCACAGCGTGGGGGGCCCCAGGTGAAGGCCCACGCTGGACAAGGGCCCTCCACGGGACCTCCGCCGTCAGACTGGACCTGTTATTCCCCCGCTGCAGAGGGTAGACAGGGTGAATGCCCAGGCTCGGGCCAGCGCAGGGGCCCAGGCAGCCCTGGAGCGTGGGGAAGGGGAACAGGCCTGGCTCAGCCCACTGACTCCGCTGTCTTCCTGTTCCAGACACAACCGACTTCCAGGAGAGCTTTGTCACCTCCGGCGTGTTCAGCGTCAGCGAGCTCATCCAGGTGTCCCGGAGTGAGTGTTCCCATCAGCCCAGAGCTGGGTCCTGGAGAGGGGAGGAGCCGCAGGGAGGAGGGAAGAGCCTACCCCCCTCACCCTACTTCTTGTCCTGTCCAGACACCCGTGTCACCCAGCCAAGGTTCCTAGAAAGGGAGGTGGCCAGGCCCTTCCCACCTTCTCAGGAATCAGAATCCAGATGCTGGATGGCAGCTAAGGAAAATTCTGCTTCCACTGTCCCATCCTAGGAGACCCCAGAGGACCCCACTCCTCCTGTCCCCTTGCCCTCCCTGCCGACCTGCTGGGGACCCAGCACATTCCCGCAGACACCATCTGAATCCCACCCCAGCGAGTTCCGGGCGCTGTCTTTCTTTAGCCCTGATTGACACCCTCCCCGTTCAGATCCGCAAAGCCCGGACTCCAGCTCTGCCTTTACCTCTGCCTCACCGTGTGCTCTTGGCCTCTTCCCGCTGGCCTAGTCCTGTGATGCATAGAATAAAGCTGGTTTCAGCCACCTTAGGAATCGGGCCACTCTGGGAAGGGATCCCTCCTTGAACCGGACGCAATGGCTCACCCTGCCTCTCTAGGGCAGACCACAGTGCTGGGCCCTGCTTCCTGCCTCACCTTCTTCTGTCACCCTCTGCAGCACCTGTGGTGACCGGGACAGGACCCAACTTCTCCCTGGGGGAGCTGCAGGGACACCTGGCATACGACCTGAACCCAGCCAGCACTGGCATGAGAAGAACGCTACCCAGCACCTCCTCCAGCGGGTAAGTATCCAAGCCCCCACCTCTGAGCATTTCAGGACCCGACTCATCAACCCATGCCCTCCGGCCCCAGCTGACTCATTCCTCTCCCTGGAATACCTCTTTTCACGATTCACCTGGCCTGAGAAACTCCTACTCATCCTTCAAAACCCAGCCCGCCTCAAGTGCCTCTTCCTCTAGGTCTGACAGCCCACCGTGGGCTCCCTCAGCCTCAAGTCCTACTTGTTCAGCCAGCCCTTAGGACTCCCCCTGGAGAATGTAGACACAGGTTCTTGCTGAGATATGCTGTGTGACCTCGAGTGGGTCACATTTGTGTGTGCCTCAGTTTCCCCATCCATAAAATGGGATCATACCCCTAACAGGCAGTTCTGAGGACCGCAGGTGGCCAGGGGATTAGCCAGGCTGCCCGGGTTTTGGTCTCCACCCGGCCGGCTTGGTATCCAGCTGCTGCTGAGTCTCTCCCTGCCTCTAGCCCCGGCGTCCCATCTAAGCAATGGACAGGTCAGAACACGCGTTCACTGGGAACGGACTGAACGCCCGCGGCTCGCGAGATGTATCGCGAGACTACTTCCCTCGCCCCGCCCACTTAGGAATCGGAAGTAGCAAAGCCCGCCGCCGCGCCCCACCCCACCCCCCGCCCTTACTTCTCCCCGGTAACTTGCGTCTCTCCCCTCCTTCGCCCGTAAGGAGCAAGAGACACAAATCGGGCTCGATGGAGGAAGACGTGGACACGAGCCCCGGTGGCGATTACTACACTTCGCCCAGCTCGCCCACGAGTAGCAGCCGCAACTGGACGGAGGACATGGAAGGAGGTAGGGCTGGCGGCGGGGTCGGAGCCGGCCTTCCGGTCGGAGTTCCCGCGGCGGGAACTACGTCTCCCGGCAGCCACTGCGCGGGCGCCGCGGGGCGGGAAGCCGGCCTGGCGCTTCGGGGCCTCCTGGGAATTGTAGTTGCGCCGTGCTGCGCGTGGCTGGAAGTACGGTCCCCGGGCTCGCGTTCTTGGATCTCTCTAGTTCCGCTAAGGCCGGGGAGGGCAGAGACTGTCCCCTGCCAGACTTCCTTGCCGTCCAGCTGTGGGGTCCACGAGCTGCAGAATTGACTGAGTAGTGACTCTGATCAACAGGGTACCGCCTCCTGGGATCTGCCACAGAATCCCTCGTCTGTAGGGTTCCTGTTTGTCTTCTTCCCCACTAGAAGGTCGTGAGATGCCGGATTCCTCATTGGGGTCGTTCTTCAAGTTCCTTTTTGTTGTTTCTTTTATTATTATTATTATTATTATTTTATTATTGGGGTCGTTCTTCAAGTTCCTTTTTGTTGTTTCTTTTGTTGTTATTATTATTATTATTATTTTAATTTAACGCGGGGTGTCACCATGTTGGTCAGGCTGGTCTTGAACTCCCGACTTCAGGTGATCCGTCCGCCTCAGCCTCTCAAAGTGCTGGGATCACAGGCGTGAGCCACCGCGCCCGGCTTGTTGTTGTTTTTAAACCAGGTTCGCGTCTCCAGGGGATCTTCCGTGTGTTTCTGGTTCTGTAGGAAACCCGTCTCTTGTCTGTAAGGTCTCCATTCCCATGGGGTCCTTTTCCAGGGAGATTTTATCCTGTTGCTTGTCTGTCTTCAGAAGGGTCCTCCCTGGGGTGTCATTCTTATTCTGCTTGTTTGTTTTGTTTTGTTTGAGGTGGAGTCTCCCTCTGTTGCCCAGGCTGGAGTGCAGTGGTGCGATCTCGGCTCACCGCAACCTCTGCTTCCTGGGTTCAAACGATTCTCCTGCCTCAGCCTCCCAAGTAAAGTAGCTGGGACTACAGGCACACACCACCACAATGCCTGGCTACTCTTTTGTATTTTTAATAGAGACGCGGTTTCACCATGTTGGCCAGACTGGTCTCGAACTCCTGGCCTCAGGTGATCCACCCGCCTCAGCCTCCCAAACTGCTGGGATCACAGCCGTGAGCCACCGCGCCTGCCTAGGGTGTCTTTCTTAACAGGGTTCCTATTCCTTAGGATCGGCAGCTCCACAGGGTCTTTTTTCCATTGAACGCCAGCTCCTTGAGGTTGTGTTTATTTCCTGTCTCCCCAAGGGCTTTCTCCAAAGATTTCCCTTATTTGGGGTCCCTGTCTCCACTGTCGTTTTCATCTAAAGAATTCCTTTCCGCCGGGCGCGGTGGCTCACGCCTGTAATCCCAGCACTTTGGGAGGCCGAGGCGGGTGGATCACGAGGTCGAGAGATCGAGACCATCCTGGTCAACATGGTGAAACCCCGTCTCTACTAAAGGTGCAAAAAACTAGCTGGGCATGGTGGCGTGTGCCTGTAATCCCAGCTACTCAGGAGGCTGAGGCAGGAGAATTGCCTGAACCCAGGAGGCGGAGGTTGCGGTGAGCCGAGATCGCGCCATTGCACTCCAGCCTGGGTAACAAGAGCGAAACTCCGCTCAAAAAAAAAAAAAAAAAAAAAAAAAGACTTCCTTTCCCTCTAAGGTCCTGCTCTCTGGCCGGCTGGCACAGGAGACTTTCAGGAAACTGTGTGTGAAATGGCCTGTGGGCTTGTGTGATGCTGGAGAGGGTGTCCCTGGCATCCATCCCTCACATTCTCAGCAGACTTTGTGCCCCTAAGTTTTACAAGCATTGCTCTATGTGGTGCCTTATTGTACAGGGCCCCACGAGGCAGCACAGTGGATCCGTGCGTGGGGTCAGTGGTCCACCTGCCTAGGTCCATCGCTCAGCCCTTGCAGCTTCCTAACGACTCCAGCTTTCTGAGCCTCAGTTTCCTCATCTGTAAAATGAGGGTGTTGGTACCTGCAGTACCGTTTCGCTCGCCTGGGGTTGTCATGGGGATTAAGTGAATTAATCATGTCTGTAAAACAGGCCTGGCACGTAACACAAAGGCTCACAATAAACGTGGAAATTTATTTTCTTTCTTTTTCTTTTTCTTTTTTTTCTTTTTTTTTTTTTTTTTTGGAGACAGAGTCTCGCTGCTTTGCCCAGGCTGGAGTGCAGTGGCACGATCTCGGCTCACCGCAACCTCCGCCTCCTGGGTTCAAGCAATTCTCCTGCCTCAGCCTCCTGAGTAGCTAGGATTATAGGCACACGCCACCCTGCCCAGCTAATTTTTTGTATTTTTAGTAGAGACGGGGTTTCACCATGTTGACCAGGATGGTCTCCATCTCTCGACCTCGTGATCCACCCGCCTCGGCCTCCCAAAGTGCTGGGATTACAGGCTTGAGCCACCGCGCCCGGCCTGACTTTGTATTTTTAGTAGAGACAGGATTTCTCCGTGTTGGTCAGGCTGGCGTCAAATTCCCAACCTCAGGTGATCCACCCGCCTCGGCCTCCCAAAGTGCTGGGATTATGGGATTACAGATGTGAGCCACCTCGCCCAGGCTGTTTTCTTTCTTTTTCCTTTTTTTTTGTTGGAAGGTCTCACTCTCCCCAGGGCTGGCGTGTCGTAGCATGATCATGGCTCACTACAGCCTCAACGTCTCGGGTTTAAGTGATCCTCCCACCTGCGTCTCCTGAGTATCGGGGACAAACGTCACCATGCCTGGCCAATTTTTTCTTTTTCTTTTTCTTTTTTTGTAGAGATGAGGTCTCACTGTGTTGTGCAGGCTGGTCTCAAACTCCTGGGCTCAGGTGCTCCTCCTGCCCCAGCCTCCCAGAGTTCTGGGATTGTCTGTGTGAGCCATTGCACCCAACCAGATGTGGTGCGTCTCCCTTCTTCCTGTCTCTCCTCCCTGCACCCACGGGGCCTCCTTTCTCTGTATTTTTATCTTTGAGGCCGGGTCTTGCTCTGTCATTGAGGCTAGAGTGCAGTGGTACAGTCACAGCTCACTGCAGCCTCGACCTCCCAGGCTCAAGTGATCCTCCTGCCTCAGCCTCCCACGTATCTGGGACTACAGGCGCATATCCCCACACCCCATTAATTTTTTTTTGATTTTTTGGTAGAAATGGGGTGTCACTATGTTGCCTAACCTGGTCTTGAACTCCTGAATTCCAGTCATCCCCCGACCTCGGCCTCCCGAAGTGCTGGGATTCTGAGTGTGAGCCACCACGCCTGGCCCTTCTTTTTTTTGTTTTGTTTTGTTTTTTAAGGTGGAGTCTTGCTCTGTCACTCAGGCTGGGGTACTGTGGCGCGATCTCGGCTTACTGCAACCTCTACCTCCCGGGTTCAAGCAACTCTCCTGCCTCAGCCTCCTGAGTAGCTGGGATTCCAGGCGCCCACCACCACGCCCAGCTAATTTGTATTTTTAGTAGAGACGGGGTTTCACCGTGTTGGCCAGGCTGGTCTCGAACTCCTGACCTCAGGTGATCTGCCCGCCTCAGCCTCCCAATGCTGGGATGACAGGCGTGAGCCACCGCGCCCGGCCACCTGTAGGATTTCTGAGAAGCTGCGTAACATGAGGAGTAAGAGGTGAGCTTCAGGCATTGGAGAGACCTGTGATCGTGTCCCCGCTCTGCCTGTGCCTAGCTGTGTAACCTTGGGCACATAATTTAATTTCTCTAAGCCTCAGTTTCTTCATCTCCACAATGGGGGAGTGATGTGAATAATAATTGTTCTTTTGGGAGCTACCGGAGGAGGAAGGAGTAGGATCGTGTGTGAAGCCACCGTCTGGGATACGCGGCTTGCTGAGGAAACGGGAGAGGTCCTTGTCGTCCGTGTCTTTATAACATTCCTGTCTCCTTCCGGCGGTCTCAGATGCGTCTGGTGGTGACGTTTCAGGTTCTGAGACTTCTCTCTCCCGCAGTGTGGGCCCCCAGAGCCTCCGTCTCTCGAGGGACCTGTCTCTTTATTAGGTTCTTTTTATTTGTCTGTTTGCTGTTTCTGTTTTGGGACGGAGTCTCACTTGCTTTGAGAGATGGCACCCCTCACCTTGGTGGCACCAAGTAGAGACCCTTTTGGCGAGGCTGGTCTTGAACTTCTGACCTCAAGTGATCTCCCAAAGTGCTGGGATGGCTTGCATCGGCCACCGGGCGCTGGTGGTCGCTTCTCATTAACTGCGTAATTGACGAGACTGTCATAATGTAAACTGCACACTAATTACTGTGAGCGACCTCCTCGGTGATGAGCCATAGCAGCCCTGAGAGGAAAAATCGTAACTTTTGGTCTGTGTGTTAGGTGAGGAGAAAGGCTGAAAATAAAGAATCTAGCTTTCCACTGAGGAAACTCAAAACATACTAAGAGAGAGGAAATGTTAGAGTGTTTGGAGCTCAGTCTGACTTTTCTGCCCGGCTGGTCCCCGGCAACCCCTTCCACTGGAGAAAGAGGTGGTTGCAGTGGGGGAAGACAGAGAGGAATCCTCTACCAGCCCCTGCTGTGTGATCGGGAATCGCAGCTGGCGGGGCATGTCAGAGGTCTGTACTCCTGCAGCTTCCGCTTGATTACCTCAGGTGATGGCAAACTCACTCCCTCCCGAGGGTTTTCTCCTCACTGTAAAGCCCTACTGTGTGCTGGCTCTGCCCGGGGCCCTGGGGACGCAGAGATGTTCCAACCGACTCCTGTCCCTGCTTTCCAGGGGCTAACAGCCTACTGAGCGAGATGGGTGCTTATCCAGGTCACTACACCCCAGAGGAGGAGCATCAGGGTGACAGAGCAGTGAGGAGCTTGGGCAACTGGCTTCTCTGCATCTCCAGCTGCGTGACTTTTGGCAGGTTCCTTAGCCTTTGTGCCCCTCAGTTTCCTCTGCCTTAGGATCGGGTTACCGGCTGGACGCAGTGGCTTACACCTGTGATCCTAGCAACGTGACAGGACCCCATCTCTATTTTAAAAAGGCCAGGCGCAGTAGCTCAGGCCCATAATCCCAGCACCTTGGGAGGCCGA